TTGAATGTATTTAGGGTTGCACATTCAGACACATAAGAGAACACTCAAATTTCATTATTCTACCACTATTTCATTTTGGTCTCCTAAGAAATGGAAAATTATCAACCTTTTCAATGGAAACAAAAGACAATTTTGTTTCTTGCCCTCATTATCATCAAGGAATTTAAAGACAGGAACATCCATCTAGATATAAAAATTTGATTCAAATAAATGGAAGTTACCTAAGAAGTTCAAACTCATCCAGCAACTGTACTTCACAATCTTAAAGGTGTTCACATGAAAATATTAAGTTGCACAACCTTTTGAGTCTTTTTCCATTGGTATTTCTTCATCTTACAAAATATATCTACATATGTTTAAAAGAACCAACCAAAGTTACCTTGGATTCCTTATCAAACTTCCGTTAGACTCACCTAACCTAATATACTGCTACCTTGATAACTGAAAATTTTGTTTTGAATTGAGTCCAATAGCAATGCAACAGAAATTCCCTTGCTTATTCCCAGGCTTGGTGTTGTTAACTCAAAATTTAAGCACATCAACCTCAAGTATTTAATTAGATCAAAATAGTAACTAAGATAATACAACAGCACACAATTTCAGCCTTGTTTTATTCCAGTAGTTCAGAAGGCTGCCATACAATATATGGAGGAACCATTCAAATCCACTACCATGCAATCATTGATCCCAATAGCAACATCCATAACTTCACCCTTTACATCACTATTTTAGGGTTGTCAATTTTAGAAGCCAAAACTAGGGATGGTATTGTGCATATCGACTATCAATCTAGACATTTTTTTTACTTTTCTTATACAATTACTACTTAGCTCCAAGATTCAATTTGTTGACATCCCCAGTTATCAGTAACATATGTATTCTATACCACCCCTAATCATCAGGGTACACAAAGATACAAATTAGAAAGGGAAAAGAAAGAAACAATGATTAAGTACCTACCGCGGCTTGGTTAAGACATGATACACTTCTTCCAAGTAATATTTGGCTGTAGCCCAAGCTTGGACTCGAAAATTTGGTATATTACTGATGTTGAAATCATATACTTCCATCAATTCCTCAGGTAGCATGCGAGACACTTTCACATAATCCTCAAGGGTGGTTATGAAATTGACATCACCAAATAACATAAATTTTACATCAAACAAAACATTATCTAGAAAATTAAAATCTCAGTAAACCCTAAACCCATATATACATCACCTTCACCAGGCCTGAGTGCCCCTCCATAGCTAATATGTCCTTCAGCCCTAGGCAATGGCATTGGTCACTCAACTCATCCGATTCACTATCACCGACTGATTCCGATTTCCTACTTCTACGCCTAGAACTCCTGCTCTTCCTCTTCCTCCTCGGCCGTGAATCATCCGAATCAGCATCTGAAACAAATTGAGACGGAGAGAGAGAGAGAGAGAGACGAAAGAAGAGATTAGGGATTTTGAGATTGGGGATTTTGGGTTTGGGGTGGGGAAAAACCCGAGCGGGAATGGAAAAAGGGAGGGGTGGAGGGAGATTAGGGATTTTTGAGATTGGGGATTTTGGGTTTGGGGGTGGGGGGATCCCGAGCGGGAATGGAAAAGGAGGGGGGGGGAATGGAAATTTTTTGGATTTTTTTTTATTTATTTTCATTATAAATGAATATTTAAATAATAAAACGAATTTTTTTTTCGTAACGGAGGATGCTGTTGCCAAAAAAAAATTATTTTTTATTAAAATAATTTTTTTTTATAGTTAATGATTTTTTTTTTTTCATTTAGTAAGGTTGAAAATTTATTTGTTTCATATTAATTTTAATGAATAAAAAATTATTATTATTTTTTTATTTGGTAGAAGTAGGGATAATATTTTCTATTAAAATAAAGTTAATGTTTTGTAGTCAATGAAAAATATTTTTTTGCGATCCTTTTTTTTTTTGTTACTAAAAATGAAGAACTAATTTTTTGCGGTAGAGGATAGGGAGTGGCAGTAGTGGTGAAGGTGGTGGATAAGTGGTGGTAGTGGTGGTGGTAGTGATGGCGAAGGAGATTTGTGGTGAAGTTGTGGTAGTGGTAGAGGAGATAGAGTAGCGATGGTGAAAGAGAGGTAATGCTAGTAGTAATGGGGGTAGTGGAGTGGTAGCGATGATGGTAGTAATGATAGTCGTAGAGGTAGAGTGGCAATAGTGGTAGTAGTGGTAGTAGTGGAATGGCATTTGCAGTAGTGGTGAAGATGGTAGAGGAGATGGGTGGTGAGAGAGAGATGAGTGAGAGACAGATAGAGAAGAGAGATAGAGAGACAGAGACAGAGACAGACAGACAGACAGACAGAGACAGAGTGATGAGCGAGAGAGAAAGACAAAGTGGTCGCCAAAAGCACATTTTCTTGAAGGGGAGAGCTCAGTAAATAGAGAAGAAAGGAATGAGAGAGTGAGCAAGGTAAACACAATTGGGGATAGAGACAGACAGACACATATAGACAGAGAGAGAGAGAGAGACAGACAGACAAACAGACACAAAGAGAGAAAGAGAGAGAGACAGAGAGACAGAGAAAGAAAGAGATAAGAGAGAGACATACAAAAAAATAAAGAGAAACAAAAGATGAGTGGGAGATAGACAAAGAGAGAGAGAGAAAGAGAGCGAAAAGAGATGATCGAGAGAAAGACATAGAAAAAGAGAGAGACAGAGAGAGAAGAAAGATGAACGAGAGAGACAGAGAGAGAGATAGAGAGAAGAGAAATGAGCGAGAGAGAAGAGAGATGAGAGAGATAAAGAGATGAGCGAGAGACAAAGAGAGAAAGAGAAAGAGACAGAGACAAAGACTAACAGACAGAGAAGAATGATGAGTGAGAGAGAGGAGAGAGAGAGAGAGAGAGAAAGAGAGAGACAAAAAGAGATAGAGAGTGAGAGACAGAAAAAGAGATAGTGGTGGTGGTCATAGTTCCACCCATTGATTTAAGTATGGTGTTTGTTTTGAGCTTTCAAATCATAATTTTACATCCATTTTTCAAAACTCAATTCAAAATATAATCATTACTTTTCAAAACTCATAACCAAACACATAATTCAAAACTCTTTTCAAAACTTAATTCAAATCAATTTTTTAAATATTTTAAAAATATTTTAATTTTGTGAAAGACAGATAAAGAAGAGAGATAGAGAGAGAGAGACAGAGACAAAGACAGAGTGATAAGCGAGAAAGAGACAAAGTGATTGCTAAAAGTGTATTTTCTTATAGTGGATTGATAAATCGAGAATGAGCTCGATAAATAGAGAAGATGAGAGGGAGGGAGTGGGCAAGGCGAACATAGTGAGTGAGAAATAGACAAATAGACAAGCAGACAGAGAGAGAGAGATGGAGAGAAGAGTGATGAGTGAGAGAGAGACAGGGAGAGAGAGAGACAGATAGACAGAAAAAGAGATAGAGAGAGAAAGAGAGAGAGAGCGAGATAGCAAAAAAGAGAGAAACAAGAGATGAACGAGAGATAGACAAAAAGAGAGAGAAATAGAGCGAAAAGATATGAGTGAGAGAAACACACAGAAAAATAGAGAAACAGAGAGAGAAGAGAGATGGACGAGAGAGATAGAAAGATAAGAGAGAGAGAGAGAGAGAGAGAGAAAAGAAATGAGAGAGATAGAGAGAAGAGAGATGAACGAGAGAGACAGATGAGAGAGATAGAGAGAAGAGAGATAGGCGAGAGACACAAAGAGAAATTGAGAGAGATAAACAAACAGACAGAGAAAGAAGAGTGATGAGTGAATGAGAGAAAGAGAAGGGAGAGAGATAGAGACAGAGAGACAGGAAGATGAAAAAATAAATAAAAAGATAAATGTTATATCAAAAGAGTAAGACGACATCGTTTTGTTTTAATTTTTTTTGTGACAGAAAAATACCGTTGCATTTATTCAAACCATTTTGTGACTGTATATATATGAAGCTGTCTCAAAACCACAATCACTATGCTAGGATAGAGTTTTCCAAAAACTCTTTTGAGAAAATTATACTTTCTTGTTTTCAGTGTTATATTGTTTTTACTGAATTTTTTTAATATTTTAAGTAATTTTTTAATTTTTAGACACACCTAACATAAATACACCTAAAAAGTAAAAAAATTGTAAAAAAAATCTTAAAAAATTTCACTAAATACCAAAAATACAAAAAAAATACAATAATTCAATACATTTTTTTTTGTATTTTTATGTATTTATTAATTTTTAAAAATATTTGTTCATAAAGTTTTTATTTTTTAGATACATCTAAATAAGGTGCATCTAAAAAAATATTTAAAATTTTAAAAATATTCACTAAAAAAAAAAACGCGAAAGTCACTTTTTGCGATGGCAGATAATGCCCTCTCAAAAATCAAAGTATTTGCGACGGCACCATTTGCCGTCTCAAAAAAGCAAAGCATTTGCGACGACATAATTTGCCGTCTCAAAAAAATAGAGTATTTGCGACGGTATTTTCTGCCATCGCAAATGCTCTGCTTTTTTGAGACGACAAATGGTGCCGTCGCAAATACTCTACTTTTTTTAGACGACATTTTTTGTCGTCGCAAAAAGTGACTTTTTGAGACGACAAATGTGTCGTCGCAAATAGTTCCGTCTTTTAAACCCACTTTTCTTGTAGGGTCAACTGAAAAAACTTCCCTCAAAATTTGTAAGCCACGTGGTTTGGTCCCAAGTTTGCAATGTTTTGTCTCTCGCATCGCTTTCTCAATGCCTTCTATAGGCAAATGGGCTTTATGTAAGTAAAGAAAGCTAATTAAATAAATTTGCTTCAGCTATTCCACTGTTTGCTTGCTACGTTGAACCCTTAGGAGCGGAGCTCGAGTTTGGTTTTAGTCTCACGAGCCGAGCTCGAGATTAGTTGCAGAGGCTCGATTCAAGCTTGAACTGAGCTTCAATAGGGCAATATTCATCTTGGCTTAGTTTCTTTGCAGCTTTAAATACTGCGAATATCATTGTATCTTGAGAGATAGACGCCATCATTCTGTAAGCACTTGTGTGGCGGTGAATCTGTCTTATGGATAGAATGTCACGCGCTCGACTTAATCATCGAAGGTCTAATCTATTTTCAGTAAATAAATTCTATAAGTAAATTATATTTTATTCGTTTGATTTGCTTCAATTTTCTTATTGTACATAAACTATTGTATCAACACACAGGTACGCGTAAGCTGGCTTAGACATCCTTTGATTTTTGTTGCTCCTTTAGAATTTTGACAGAATTTGATCAATTACTTTTTTGTCCGTTTGGAATGCCTTGGTGAGAACTTCACTAGAAATCAGTGGATTCGAGCCAAAAACTGCATTTGCTACGGTCATGATTCCTGGGTTTTGGCTGCTCAATGCAGAAATTCCTAGTGCTTTTTCATTCCCCAAATTCAGCTGGAAGTGAATAAGTCCCTTTGGAAAGACAAAAACATCACCCTTTTGAAGAACCTTGCTGATAAGGCGATTCTCAGGATTTGTAGTAACGAAACCAACAAGGAGAGAGCCTTCTATAAGGGTGAAGATCTCAGAAGCTCTAGGGTGGTAGTGGGGAGGATTGACGCCCCCTGGAAGATAGTCGACCCGTGCCATTGCAATGCCAAATGTGTTGAGTCCTGGTAGTTGAGCTGCTGTTACTGGGGAGACTTTAGACCTTACAGGGTTTGACGTGTTCCCTGGAATGTTGAAACCTCTAAAGAGGAAATCATTGGCTTGAACCATCATGGGATTCTTGCAAGAAAAGCCGTTCACTGTCACTGCCAACAAATAGAACAATTAGAAGCAAAATATATAGCTCATTGTCATGTAAATTGTACTAATTATGTGCAATTAACTATTACTCCATGCTCGTTTTTGGAATGGAAAATATTATAAAAATTTACAGAATTTATAAAATCTCCCACTCATAGATGTGACATGTAATAATGAAATTTGGTATCTAAAATACAACTTTATAGAATAATAGACGTGACTTCAACAAAATATTAAAAATTTACTAATTTATATAACATTATTCTTTGGGTATTAACTTATGCATAGTATCATAGATGTGAGGTGATTTTACTGCCAACAAATGTTTGGTAAAACTTTTTGTCAGTTAAGGAAAAAAAGAAAAAGAAAAAAGAAACTACATTAATTAGCCATACAAACTCATTTTTAACTTAATTTGAGCTGAAAAACAAACAGTTAGTTGAAAATTTGAAAAACTTTACAAAACAACAAATATTGCAAAATTACAACTACCCTCAAAAAAACATTTTCAAAACTAAAAGCTATAAACGCTGCCCGTAATTTTTAGCTAAACGTGGCCTAAATGCAATACCCGGGCTGTTAAGATCTGCAACACAGAAATCCTGAAGGGGTGCAGGCTCATATGCAAAGGCAATACAGCAGAAACTAAGAACAGCCACCAAACTCAACAAAACCGTATGTTTTTCCATTTTCAAAACAAACTTAGCTTTTAATAAATATATATTTTGAAGAAATCAAGAACAAGATTAAGATAAAAAAAAATGAATGAATTCGAGTGATGAAACAAGTGTATCTCAAGATCCTATATATAGAAAACAAAACGTAAATTCCACGAATTCTATAATTATTACTTTTATTTTTATAATCAGCCGTCCAAAAGAATGAAAGTGTCCTGATTGACAACTCAATCTCTAAATGGATCATTAACGATAATTATATCAAAAATTTCTGATTAAACCATTGTGATTATTATATGGAAAAAACAGGTGAGCCGGCACGCTTATAGTTAGAACAGGATTATAATATATACCCAGAATTTTTTTGTATTGTGTGTAAGAAATGGTCAAGTGTGATTTCAGGAGGACCATTTCAGACCAAACCTTAGAATTGTTATTATTGTTTTGTCTAAAAATGATTTGTCCCAAGCAGCATTACAATTCAATGACTTGTTCTTTATTCATGATAAGAACGTTTAAACACACAAAATTTGGAATGCAGTGGAACAAACTTAGATTAATTCCAAGAGTAAATGTATTATTAATGCTAGCTGGAGATAGGGGTGTAAATATGGCCTGACCTGGTCCACCTGGGCCTGGCGCACCTGGGCCTAGGCTTGGGCCAGTCCATGGCAGGTCGTGCGGGCTCTCGCCCTTTTGTCAGGCTACGCCGGGCCAGGCCGGGCCGCGAGCCAAAAAGTGGGGCCCTAGCCCACTTAGAATAGGGCCTAGGGTCCGCCGACCGAGCCTAGCGGTTTTTTTTTTTTTTTTAAATCATACTAAATTATTTTAGTTAAAATTAATGGGATGCTTGGTTATGTTTTGTATGCGGTGGTATTTAAATTTAATTATGTCTGATTTATGTTTTTTTAGTTATGAACTTATAACTACAGAAGTATGAAATTATGTAGTTTTTCTCTTTTGAAATGAATAATTTTATATATATCAAAATGAAACTTGCAATATTACAATCATTATATTAAATAGATAATATTTATTGAATGAATAATTTTTATTTCAAAATGAAATAAAATATTACAAAAATTTATATCATTAAATAAAATAGATGTAGATTATTGATGATAGTAGAGCAATTGTATCACTATAGGTCAAGTACATCCCAACAAGGTTGGCACCTACTAGTCTACCAATCATTTGCATTATATTCCACCTCAATAATCTAATACAAAAAAAATAAAGAAATGAAATAGTGAAAAATAAATTCTTGATCAATCAACGAAGGAAACAGACAATTCACTCGCGTTGCCTAAGGATATTTCATCTAAATCGGTTTCAATTATCTCATTTTCACTATAATTTTGTCTTTTCATACGTACATGCATATGACCTCTCGATATCATCAGTGCCCCAACCATTTAGGGCGAAAGCCTACAGTGGTAATCGCTCAGCACTCATCCACTTGCATTAAAAGCTATTTCCAAAGCAACTATAGAAATTGAACGCTTAGTATATCACAGGTCATCTGCGAAAGCACAAGTCACAAAGTTTTTTTTTTTTTCATCAATCCAAAATGTCAAAATTTTCGAAATCATCCACTACTGGGCTTTCCAAATAACGTTGTAGTTCAAAACTATTTACGCTTGTATGTTGAGATATTCTTCTACTTTTAATTTCACAAAAAACACTTAATCTTCTGCCTTAAGATGAGGCTGTTGGTGTAGTGTGTAAAGGTGTATTTGTAGATGCAGCTGCCTTATATTCTTCAAATAATGTTTTGCGTGTTTTTATAATAGGGGCAAATTAGTTTTGATCAACGAAAATAAATTCTAAAAATTATTGTAAACAGCTTCTTTACACCTAGTGTAGACACCCCATTTTTGACCGAGCTTAAGACTCAGATGTCATCGATTGAGCGCTCGATGATTATGCATGTTTGTGTTCGTTTCGAGTTTCTAAAGATTTTGGTTGAATGCCTTGCCTCTGGGCCTCTGAACTCTTTGTGTTTTGGCTCGGTTTGTGGACCAAGCCTTGTTTTCTCTTCCCTGGAGGGAGGGAGAGGTCTTGTAGACCACTTTTTGTGGTCGTAGATCACTTTTCTTGCTTGGAAACTAGTTTCCAGTTTTCGGAGTCTTCGGCCGCGCGCCTTGTCTCGGGACTGCTTAATGTTCTCCGCTTGGCTTGGTTTTTGAACCATGCCTTGTTACCTCTTCCTAGAGGGACACTGTGGTCCAGGAGACCACTTTTTGTGGTCGTAGACCACTTTTGATGCTCGTAGACTAGTTTTCGAGGCTCCCAGCCATGCGCTTTGCCTCCCGGACTTTCTTCCTGTATCCTTTTTGGTTTGTTTTTGGTACAAACCTTGTTTTCCTTACTTGGAGGGTGATATAAGGGTGGGAGACCAATTCTTCCCCTTGGAGACCAATTTCCTTTCTACCAGCCAGTTTTCTGGTCGGCTAACTGGTTTTCTGGGTCTTTGGGCCACCTTTTCTGGTCGGCCACCATACCATTGCCTTGCTTTCATGCTGCAGACCATCTCCCCCCCCCATGGCCGACCACTTTCTTCCCTGGCCGACCACTTCCACTAGTCGGCCGACCAGTGTAAGTAGCTGGCCGACCACTTGGCAGCTTTCCATCACCTTTTTGGAGATATTTTGGAGCCAGCTATCACAGCTGGAGAGCACAGAAACCATCCTCCATACACGTGTATGGAGGGATGGCTTTAGGCCTAAGCTTGTCCAACAAGCTTAACCTTTGGTTCTCCATAAAAGAGAACCTCCCCCCTCTTGCCTTAGGTTCAGATTTTAGTGCTTGAGCTATACATATACACCTTTGTCTCTATATTGCTCATCTTCTTCATTTTTGTGTTCAAAAGTGCAGTTTCTTCATACTATTGCACACAAAAACACACTCAAACACCATACTCTTGGAGTCGAGGTCCCTTGAAGTTATTTTTGAAGTTTTTGGACTGGTTTTGGTTAGAAAAAGCTGCTGGAGTTGTTGCTCCAGAGTTGTTCTACAAGGGTGAGCTTCTACCCTCTTAAACCCTTATTTTTGCTTAAGCTTTTGGCCCTACTTGCATGTTGTTTAGGCTTAACTCTAAACTACAAAAAGTTCTGATTTTGCATGCTTGTAATGTTTATTTAAGGTCTCTTTTGTGTTGAGGGTAGTCTACCCCCACTTAGGCCTTGTTAGGCCTTGTTTTGAACCTCTCTTTTAAGCTATTGGGACCACCTCCTTTTAAATTTTCTACCACTGAATTCCAGAGGAATTTCAGTGGTGAAAATGGTGTTTTGAGGTCCCAAATAGGAGAGGGTCATCCCCTCTCCTTGTATCTTGTATGCTTGCTTCATTGGCCTCATGTTTGAGCATGTTTGTTAAGCTTGTGTTGGCCATATCTCAGCCTATTTTAGGCCTTATTTCAGCATGGCATACCACTATTTTGACTTGGTTTTGTCACCTCATGCATGCCTTATACACTTGTAATGTAAATTTTGCAAACTAGTCTTATATGCCTCATGTTTGAGCATGTCTTTCTAGCATATTTTGAGTCCATTTCAGCATGTTCTTGGTGTTGTTTTACCATGATATACCTCTGTTAAGGTTTGGTTTGATGACCCCTTGCATGATCCATACACTTGTAGTGTAATTCCATGAACTAGCCTAATGTGTATCATGCTTTTGACCATCATTCTAGCATGCTTTTGGCTTAACTCCAGCAAGCTTTTGTCCATGTTTTAGCATGTTCTAGCTTTGCTTTATGTTGTTTTGGTCATGCATGCCATGCATTGTATAGCGATATGCATTCTAGCTTGTTAGCTTTGTGTATTGAGTCCACTAGCATGCATTGCTTCGCCTATTTGAATGATTTGGCATCATTTGAAATATGATTTCAGTACATGTAGTGTGGTCATACACTTGCATTTGTCACTTTTTCCATGCTTTGGAAGGTTGGTTCTTTATGCCTTAAGAATGAGGCATTGTGTATGCCTTCATGCCTAAGCTTGCGGGCTATTATTTCAGTGTGTTTTTGGGGTTATTTTGCCATGATATAACTCTAATTTTTGTCGACAAAGCCATCTCATGCTTGGTCTTGGTAGGTGTAGTGTAATCCTCCCTTTTGGCCTTGCTTATTCTATGCTTCATGCCCTCCATGCTAGCTTATTTTGGCTTCCTTCCATACATGTTTTAGCTTCATTTTGACATGCTCTAGGACTGTTTTGGGTTGTCTTGGCCATATGCTTCATGTTTTGCATAGTTGTAGTACAAATGCATACGCTAGCTTCAAGTTTTGAGTATCATAGCATGCTTCATTTGTATCATGTACATGATTTGGCATCATTTCACATGACATTTCAGAGCATGTAGCATTGCCATGTTCCTATTCCTTTCACCCTTTGAGTGCCTCTAAGGGTTGTGCATTGTTGCCTTGTTTGTGGCCTAGTGTGCATGCATGCATACTTAGACCTTTGAGCCCTCATCTTAGCATGCTTTAGTCTTTGTTTAGACCTAATTAAGTTCTGTCCATGGTTGGTTCATGCATTTGTGCCATGTATTGCATGTCCCCTTTGTAGTCCTCTTTGCTAGCCTTATGGCTTAAGGACTCTAGTATGCTATACTTGTGTTGTTTGAATGGTTTGGCATCATTTCTTACTTAATTTCAGAGCTTATAGTGTTGTTACACTTCCACATTTTTCACTCCTTGAGCACTCTTGCATGTGCATGCATTTTTCTTGCTTTCATGCCTTTATTTTAGCATTATGGCTACTGATTTGGGCATGACTGAGGTTTGTCCATTTTTGGTTTAAGTCCATTGAGCATGTTTGTTTTCATGTTATTCGCATGCTTATGTTGCTTTGCATTGAGTATGCATGACATTAGCATTGATAGGTTGCTTATGTTGCATTGCATTGAGTATGCATGCCATTAGTATCGATAGGTTGCTTATGTTGCTTTGCATTGAGTTTGCATGCAATTAGCATTGATAGCATGCTCATGTTACATTGCATTATGTATGCTATGTTGTTGTTTGCATTGTGTATGCCATGTTGTTGTTTGCATTATGTATGCCATGTTACATTGCATTGAGTATGCCA